CCCTTTTCTAGAATATTTTTTCCTGCTTCTTCTAAGAAGATTATGTAAAATCCATGAATATTCGCGTTAGCAGGAACTTCAGAAAAGGATTTGCTACATATATGAAGCAATGGCTTTCTTCAAATTATTGGCTAATACAAAAGTATCTAATCGTTTTGAGATTTCTCACACCTATGATTGTGAGAAAACACCGCCATATTTTTCTTATCAATAGAACGTCTAAAATTACCCGTTGCAGCCTTGTTACTGTTAAGTGTTTTAAATTTCATATTTGTCGCCCTTCAATCTGATAATGCAGTCACACATGCAATGCCCTCTCCGTTTTCTTGAAATAACTATGTATCTTCCTTTATAGGACCTTGTAAGGTAATCCCGACCGCGTGACCCTGCATTAGTTGAAGCAATAAGTATCATACGGAACGACTCCCATGTAATACGGTACTGCCCATAATTTCCCTACTTTATGAGATGTTGATAGCCTTGTTGAGCTTAATAACATTTAAATCGTAGATTTTCTATGTCACGTCCGTCTCAGAAAATATAAAACTCCTTTTTTCCAATTTTCCTAATCTTTTCTCTTCGAAACATTATTCTAATGGGTTGAGCTTAAGCTGAAAAACTTCAAGAAATTTTTGAAATGTTAGCCCCTGCATTATGAATCTTGTTCTTTCCAACTTGTTCAATGACACTAAACAATCGAACTGAAAAGAACGCGAACTGATCCCGATAACGTTTTCAACGCAATAAAAGTTCCTCTGATCCAGCCAGTCTCTTACAAAAGATTAACGGCAGCTGTCTAATAGAAGTACGCACAAAGACATTTCAAGGAAATGGTCTCCCACCTTCTGCGACATCTGTAACCAGAGACATCAAATTTAGAAGTTCCTAATTTGAAGGTCTAGTGCAATTTAATGTTAGGTTTAGGTACGGAACATATGTGTGCTGCCACAAGTATATAGATGTTTAGCAAACTCATCTAAGGCGTATAGTATATCTAAGACTTCGAGTGGTAGCTAATCCTGTCTATTTAGTCCTCATTCTCCAGCTGTCTATCAATGACCAGAGAAGAATATATACTTGTTACCAAAACCTCTGCAAAGCAATCAATCCTCGCCAAGAGACTTACCGTCAGCATTGCTCTTTTCAGTCGCAGGTGTGTAGCTTCCTCCATGTTTTTTTTTCTCATTAATGCTTGGGGAAATTCCGAAGGCGCTACCGTCACCACAGAACTGATGAGTGACTTTTCATCCAAAGATTTCTTTAGGTTTTATTGCCGAGAGAATTTATCGATATTGATTAGATGTAGTTTTTTGTACCCGGTCAATAACCTTGCTTTACAGATTCGAAGGTCTTCAACTTGCTATACAAGGCGATCGTGCAAGATGCTCTGAACTTCGCTCGCAAATTTCCAAAGCAGAAGCAGATCTTGAGATCCATAAGAGAGAGTAAGTTGTACATCTCCTCTACTGTTGAAAATTGAAGATGAGTTTTGTGTTCTAGTTTCTTGATGAAGAATTATAACAAGATAAGGAAGTAGATAAATTTAAAGGGTAATGACTCATAAAAGGGTTAAGCATTACTTGTAATAAACATCCCGTATATGATCCCATCTGAAATTACCCTCCTTTTACAGAGGATAAATTGTATCGTCATTGCAATATTAGTCGTCAAAGAGCGATACGAAATAGGTTTTGACGGCGACACCTCCCACAAAATTCCTGGACTCAAACCTATCTATGGAACCTGCATTCTAAAAAATACAAGCCTTTGATTTTTTGCGCTTTGATTTGGAAATAACGAATGCCTAGAACTCAAAATAGAGAAATCTGCAAAACAGAATGTTACTTTTCGCGTTTGGGAAAGCGAGTTTCCCCTATAGTGTAACTTATAAATAAAGTTGAAATTATAATGCCCTTATGTTACTATTAAGGATTCTTAGAAGTGGCTGCTGAGAAATACTTTGCAGTTCGCAGGCAATTTAACATTATTAACTTTACTCCCCTTTTCATGACATGCCGTATTTCGAGGGAAGAAAGTGGTGGCTATCAGGGATTCCATTTCGGAGCCTTTTCCAACTTGCCTCCCACTTCGAAATTCAAAATGGTCCTCGCACGTTCACTAGTGAATATGCTAATTGTTGGGTTTCTTTCAGAAGTAGCCGCTTGGCTGAAGAACGCGCCCAGCTTTTAGCTCAAAATGCCGAATTCTATAAAGATTATGACAGGATTTGGGATGTAGGTTTCTAAATCAAACTGCTTTAAGAAACCATTTAGGGCTTATATGATTTTAGGAAATTGACCGCGTCCGTCTCGAATTGGCAGAGTGTCAAGCAAGAGAAAGACGACTCTTCGCTGAAAAAGAGTTCCTGCTCCAGTGCGTAATGATTGCATATAGCTTCTCCGAATTGCATCTATTCTAAAAGTTGATTAGATGTTTCCAGGGTACAGGAACGTGAAGTTTATGAGGTCAACAATCTCCTAGCTGAATCCTCGTTCGATGCCAGAAAGTTCTTTGAAAATGATATCGCTCTTGCCATCAAGTATGTCGATAAAATGTAGAACAAAGATAATACAAGTAAAGGCGAAGTTCAGGGAGATTAAATTCGAGTACGAGGCATCGTATAGCATTGTGCGCACCAATGTTACATCCTACTACAATCAAAAGGTTGTTAAGAATCTAGAATGGTTTCTTACACAAAAATAGAAATATTTTAGTTGGATGATATGCGGAGAATGGCCAGCAAGAACACTGACGAATCCAAATTCCGCAAAGAGCAGATAGCTAGGATGGAAAATATGATTGATGACCTCAGACTGAAGTTCCGTCCTCTCGAAGAACGAAATCATATGTTGGAGGGTGAATACAAGCAGCTTCAAGCCGCGGTAAGTGATGGAAAACTGCGCAGCTTTCTAATTTCTTTGAACAAATTTCAATTCCTATTCACACTCATATCGAGTCCTGGTTACAGATAAAGAAGGACGAAAATCAGTACGAGACTGAGAAGAGGAGTCGTGAAGATGAATACAAAAATGCTCTTGCTATTTATCAACGTTTGGTAGGTTGCCTTGATTAGATTAATAAGGACCCTGTGAAATCCAACATTTACTCAAAGACAACAAGCCCAATTTTATTCTCAAACTTAAGGAAAACATTGTGAAGTAAAACTCCCTGAAGTTGTCATAAATACTATAACATTCATTAGCTAGATTATCTCCCTTAGAATACTCTAGCCCTATTTACATATCAAACTGGTTGTAAAATCCTGTCAACAAGTCTTCCATTTCAAATATTTGTCTTCATAAAACGATC